AGACTATTTAACCTTCTACAATCACAGATTTCGCCAAGGCTACACTATAGATAAATAATATTCAAGAAAAACAGTATTAATCTATTCACAACTAGACCACAGACTTTAACAATAAATAAAAGAGTATATATGGGTGAGTATGTGTGTCAAATGATAGAGTGTGCAATGTTTTTTTATGTATTTCATGGTTTTTTTTTGCATAATTTTAAAGAAAAATTACCATTCTGCACTCCTTCTCTATAAGTGTAGGAAATTTGATACTCCTCCATCCGCGCAATTTTCATTAAAAGAGGTACACAGTTTTTGCTTTACGTATTACTATATAGATTTATCTTTTAAATGTGAACCCAAAAACAGCTGTATACAATAATCGCTTTCGCTCATGAGCGTGACGCTGCGGCACCGTTATGTAAGCCAGTAAAGGTCAAGGCGAGAGAACTGGCTCATCGTGTTCTCGAATTATATTTTAAATTTTAGATCATTCCGTACAAGGTATGGTTTTGTACGTGTTTTTTTCACAGGCCTGCCTATTTCGTTCATCTCATGCCGTCATCTCGTTTTTACCATCACACCACCCGCCATCGGAGTAGAGTTCATCCATACTACCTGGAGCCACTGCGGTCATCCACAGTGCGTTTCCAGAGGTCTTTTTTGCCACGTACCATCCGACTATAGAATGAGCTCCCCTCCACGGTGTTTCCCGAACGCTATGACTGTCCTTCTTCAAACGAGGCTTGTGGAGAGTATTAAGCAGTAGGCAGCGGCCTGGCTCTGCCCCTGGCATTTCTGAAGTCCATGGGTGACGGTAACCACTCACCATCAGGTGGGCCGTGTGATCGTCTGACTACAAGAGATATAAAAAAAGTGTGATAAGGAGTAATGATGCGTTCCTCTTTATATAACGGGGTACGACGGTCCTTAAACTTAGACTCGATGTGTTTTAAGATGTCATGCACTTTTTTCCCTACCTACGCTAATAGCCTTGAGATACCATATCAGCGTTACCCAAGCGTGTAGGTGAGCTCTCGGGGCTCAAACAGGAGGTGTTGCTAACACTCGCCCTAGCAAGAGCCGTACTTCGCAGAATCTATCACCGGATCGGAAACCCGACCCACTGAGAAGATCCGGCGAGAAACTCAGTGGGCTGTCATGCACACCGATCGTTCGTGGATCACCATAATAACCATAAAGTCGAATCTATAGTGAAAAATCTGTTTTACGAACTCGTGCGTAGTTTGGTTTGTATGCTTCCTGTAGTAAGTAAATTAGTTAATGTAATCTCATTCTAAACAAATTGCGATTTCAAAAATAAAAACTACATACACGCTCTGAACAAAAAAGAAGAAATAATTTTTAAGTTCGACTAGCTTATTCTATAGCTTTATAAAGACCACTAGATTTTTAAAGTATCATACAAGTATAATTTGTTTTTGGTAAATAAATATGTATTAATAAATATAATAAATATTTACTGACAACCACGCCACGTTAACTGGTCCCGTGGTAAGTTCGTAAAGAACTTGTGTTACAGGTACCAGATAACGGAAATAAATGTAAGATTTTTATTATACACATACATATATTTAATATACATATAATATACATAACCCTGGAAAAGACATTTTATATTATTCATACAAAATATCTTCCCTTGACCGGATTCGAACCTGCGACCACCTTGTGTAGTGACCATATCACTTACCACTACACCAGACCGCCGTCAAATAAACGGCAAAAATATAAAATAAACAATCAATTTTTACTATGGCAGTTAATGTGATTGATTTTTTTTGCCATTATAGGCAGACGAGCCTAAAGCCCATCAGATTGTAAGTAGATACCGCTACTTATGGACATCAGCAAGACTAGGATCATAACCAAGCCGCTCTCTACCGCTAAGTACTTTCCACGAAACTCGGTTGAGGAAAAACATGTCATAATGCGCATGCGCTCAGGAAACACCGTGAAGAGTAGTTCATTCCAAAGAAGGATGGTTCGTAGCACAAAAATTAACTATAAAATGGCTATTACTTCCATTAGGACCAATTATGGTAGGAAGATTTAATTTGACAATCTGAATACCCGGTCGCAAAGAAACAAATAGGTCACAAATAATTCAGTATATCTAAAAATCATAGACACGGGGTGCCGCAGACAGTCATCCAAATTTTATTGCAATTATCTACAATTGACTGCTCACGCGGAGTTTGTAAATCCACAAAACATACAGAAACACCTCACAACCATTTATCGACTAGTCCAGCGGCTCTCAAACACCTTATCGCGACACATTAGAGTATCGCAAAACCTCTGTCAAGTTTGTCCCGAATTTACTGATAACATATTTTGTATTTAAGATTCCCGGAAGATATATGCATCTGTAGGGTACATATGAGTAAATATAAAACTCCTTATTTAATGTTATCTGTAGAACTACGTTTATTAAACAAATACTGTAATAAAGTAAATGTACCTAAAAGTAGGTTGTTACTTGAACTATAAAAAAAAAGTAGTAAGTATACAAAGGTGTCGCGAATTGGCAAATAAAATAGTATGTAATCTTTGCTGAATAAAAAGTTTGAGGACCGCTTAACTAGCATTGCCTCAGAGCTAGAAGTGCTGTAACCAAACTCGACAATTTTTACAGCAAATAAAAATTAGCGTAAACAATTTAATAAAACACGGAACGATCAGTTCTGCCTTACGAAAGCATTAACAATATACAGAAACATTTCCCATCGTGTAGACCGCGGACTCAATTTCTTATGAAATGAAGAAACATGTAGACGATTTAAAATGGAAAATGGTATAGGGGCATTAGAACCCTTCGAAATCCTTCGTGCAATATAAAACCAAATCCTTTACGTGAATCGTATTGTTTGCCCGCACTGGTAGATACCACCATCCTGCCTAGGAGTCTGCCGCTAAGTAGCCATGTGCTCCTGACAAAATAGTGGGACTGTTAAACAAAAAATGGCATTTGCGCTTAAATTAAGGTAATTCATGTTGTGATGTCTACGGGCTGTGAGTGCGCTCACTCAAATATGCAATACATTTATTTTAAACAAAACACCAAAGCGTATTACGCCTGCACCAGTATCTCCAAGATCACGGGTTGTTGTAACGATACAATGACGTTCACACGGCTACCGTTGCTAAACCCGGCCGAACTCTAAACGTAATCGACAATGTTATCTCGCATTATTCTGAGATTCCGCGCGATTCAGTCGCAGATAGCCCTGGCCTATATCATTGAAGGTGTCTTTGACGGCTTATTCTATCGTAGGTAAATTAAAACATAAGTCGTCGTGGCCTAAAGGATAAGACGTCCGATGCATTCGTATGTAGCGATGCATCGGAGTTCGGATCCCGCCGGCAGGTACCAATTTTTCCAATAAAATACGTACTTAACAAATTTTCACGTTTGCCGAACAATATCGTGCAATAAAAGGCCAACCCGCAAAGTTATAATTTGCGTAGTTACTGGTGGTATGACGTCTTGTGATACGGAAAGATAACACCAACCTGCCTATTTCTGCCGTAAAGCAGTAATGCGTGTCGATTTGAAAAGCGGAACAGCCGATCTACTGTTAAAAGTGAGACCTTAGAACTCATGTCTCAAGGTGGGTGGCGGCATTTACGTTGCAAATGTCTATGGACATCGGTAACCACTTGACACAAGGTGGGCCGTGGTGAGCTCGTCCATCCATCTAAGCAAGAAACAAATGCTACTTCCCGTCAATACCACCGTTACCATCACGAATTATCGTGCACTTTTGCAAACTCGGGAGAGACTCCCTCCCCCTCCCTGCCTAGTAAGGCAGGGGTGACTAAGTGGGGCATGGTAGGCGCCGGCAACTATACTATCGATCGCAGCAGGCGGCCACTATTGACGCCCTAAGCACGTGCTAAGGCTTTTGATTCCCTTCCGTGTTTCTGGACGTTGCTGCCGCACTCGTTTGCTCTTTTTCGTTAACCTATACGAGGCGCCATGTCCTCACATGCTTCAATAATCGACATACTAAGCTGGGGCATTGTGGCATTTATCCATATTTATCTGGGGGCATTTATCCATACAACAGAGACACAATATCGTGTCTCATAAAATAGTCATAAACTACTACATATTATGTGTGTTCTTTGGTTTGTGCGCTTCGTAAACACAATCGATCTTTACAAGATAACCTATTATGAAGACGAATTAATTTGTGTAGAATTTAACGATTATAATATAACAACGATTTTTGTGCATTTAAAATATAATCTGATCAAAGAACTATGTATAATAATTATAACAAGGAAGTGCTCTATTATGTGTAATTAAAACCAATTTTAATTGTTATTTATTGTTCTACGTGGAGGAAGATCTTCGAGAAATAGATCTATTAAAAATATCGTTAATCTTTTGTTTTAAATTATTTTCCATTTCAATACCCCATTTTCGTTGGATAATTGAGGTTTTTGTTTCTTGGTAATTAATGGTTTCTAGGGTCTGAATACTGCGTTCATTTACTGGTGCCGAACCGTGTAATTTCCCCGTGGGTTAGTTAACGTGGGTTTCGATTCGAAGTCCAGATTACCCTATAACCCATTGAAACAAACACTCTTTGGTGTTAACGAAAAAGTAAAGATCAGAAACTGCACTTATATTTTTGCCTTCGGATCCAAGCATTTACGCCTCACCTGACCGTGAGTCGCAAAACAATTACACATTAGTTTGGAGGGTGAGACAGCCTCCTCATGATTCAGTCATGAGGACTCAAGATGAACCACTGTGTTCCAATAAAACACCACACCAAAAGCGCTGGCGAAAAAACTCAGCGGACTTTGTTTTTAAAACGCCTTTTTAGCTTCATGCATTTTACTGATAATAGGACCTCTTGTGATTCCGCATGGGTGGGTACCACAACCCCACCTATTTCTGCCGTGAAGCAGTAACGCGTTTTGGTTTGAAGGGTGGGGCAGCGTATCCGAATATCGTAATATACAACTGCTCCTACCTGGCATCCCGTCTCCATGTCAGCGTAGTATCCCGCCGCTCGTCCTCGACACGTGAAGCTGGTGGGTGGTATCTTCACCTGAGGAGTGTCACTCTGGAACAAAGATATTATTGTATCAAAATTATGTCAAGGTTCGGCCGATGATCGAAATCCCACCCTAATCACTGACGACTCGATATTTAAATTAATTTATTATACTACAGTTATCTACTATACTACAAGTATATTTTACTCCAGAAAGGAAAAATTTACCCTTTCCATCCCTTTTAAATCAAGCGCATACATTAAAGTATTAAAATCGAAAAACAAAAAAATTACAATTCCTCAGTAATTCATTTTTGGCGTTTACCAAAAAACAAGAATTTTAGATTAAGCCGCTTCAATTCTAAAGGCGCGATATTGTAAACACCACTCTCTTCTTATAAAAGGAAATTTAAGCAAACGGGTCGTGGAAGTCTATGCAGGTATTGTCTGCAGTTACCTAGTGGGTCCGACACACATTCAACTCGCTCGATCAACCCCTAGGCAAAGAAAGTATCGGTTACAACACTATGACGTCATTTCGGTATATTTTACAAGAATAATTCCTCATACAATTGCGAACTAAACTGGCTCCAATTACTGCCGCACCCTTCTCTTCCTGGTCTTGCTAAATGCAGTCCGTTTCCCGGCTGATAAGTTCTGGCTACTTGGCAATAAGCAAGCAGTTTTATTCTGACGCTTCACATTAAACTAAATGTTTTATGCACAAGAAAGACAGTATTACTCGTAGAAGTAAAGTCCCTTCAGTAAAAATAAACGAGAGAATAAGAACTATGGCGATATATCACTCACTCATTTTCGCATATGACATTTAGAATCTAAATTCGATTGTTAACATCAGGAAAAGACAGCGTAGAATTTCTCTAGGATCATGTGTGATTAGCTTCTATATACAATACGTACATAAAACATATTTATCGGAGTTTTTTTTTGTTTCCGAAGGTAGGTGAACATTACAGTTTGTTGATGATTAGCTGATATGCGCATTTCAATTCACAAATCAAACTATCAGTCGACTTGTGGTCGTTGAACAGTAGATAGACGATACAATTTTTTTCAATGTAACTTCCAGCTCAGCGGTCACGGCTCAACTGGATCGCGTAACTCTAATACAGAAGTTCACAGGTACATCGTTTGTCAATCTTTAGAAATATGCATAGATTATACACTTAATATATTTGAGATTGGAAATATGAGTACAGTATTTGACCATCGTCAAAATAGATTGAGGGGAATCGGGACGCTTTCCAATTCTTACACAAATTCAGCTGTTTTTCTTAGGTAAAACCAATAAAATTGTTCCGCAGGCTTAAATTTTCATATACAATGCATTATTTGATATATTTCATTGAAAAATATACACAACACTTAAAAAACTAGCTTGACCTGATTCATCTTGGCTTTTGGGGTGAATCGGGGAACGTATGGGGACAATAGAGTTTTTCGATAGGGGTGGCACTGTTTAGTTGTTAGGTAGGTAGTTTAGGTAATTAATACCTTTAGGTAATTAGTAACTTTAGGTAATTAACTTTTCAATAGCTTTAATCAGTTACAAAGCTCTGATGACTAAATTAAACTATTTAATATTCATAAACACTAAATAAAAGTCATTTTCTATTCAACAAATTTAAATCTCACAAAAGCATTGTGACAACCAAGATCTATTCCCTATTCTACCTTTAGTCCCTATTCCCTCCAATCTACGGTACTAACGCCGTAATGATTGACTCAGTGGTGTAGTAGTTAGAGCCTGTTGTGCCGAGAGTCGTGGTTTCGATTCCCACATCGGGCAAATATTCGTGTGACGAAAAAGTTTGTTTGTTCTTTGTCTAAATGTTTATTATCATATGTGTATATATTTAAACGTATACAATTATGTATATCAGTCTAGTAGAAGTATAAATGTGAAAATTTGTATTATCACTACATAGTATAAAACAAAGTCGCTTTCTCTGTCCCTATATCTGTTTGTCCCTATGTATGCTTAAATCTTTAAAACTACGCAACGGATTTTGATCCGGTTTTTTTAATAGATAGAGTGATTGAAGAGGAAGGTTTATATGTATAACTAGCGACCCGCCCTCGCTTCGCTTCGGAAACATTAAAACATACATGAAACCAAAAAAATAAAAATAAAAAAAATTAAAAAAAAGTAGCCTATGTTCATCAGGGACAATGTCGGCTTCTAATGGAAAAAGAATTTTTCAAATCGGTCCAGTAGTTTCGGAGCCTATTCGAAACAAACAAACAAACAAATCTTTCCTCTTTATAATATTAGTATAGATATAGATAACATCCATTAAATAGTGGAGAAATCAATAATAAATTACCGTTTCCGAAGCGAAGCTAGGGCGGGTCGCTAGTTTGTTTATCAATTACACAAAAATGGCAAAAGGGATTTGAATGAAATTTCGCAGATAGATAGCCTGTAAGTCAAGACAAAGAAGATACTTTTTATCATGGTAACTACATGAAACGGGCAACACCTGGTATAGCTGCTTTAGTAAATACGAAGACATACCCTAGTTCGTGATTCTATGGTAACAACGTGCCTACGAATCGTCTGATTATTCATAGACCAGAGAATGACACAAGCAATTATCTATCCAGAATAAAGGCAACGAATTTCATTATTTCTGAATTACAAAATGAACGCAGGTAAAATTTCGATTCACGTCTAGTCTTCTATATATATAAAAATGAATTGCTGTTCGTTAGTTTCGCTAAAACTCGAGAACCTGCTGGACCGATTTGAATAATTTAAGTCTTGAATTATTTGTGGAAGTCCAGAGAAGGTTATAAAGGTAGATAAATATGAAAATGCTCGGAATAATATAAAAACAAACAATTTTGTTTTTCCTTTGATGTGTCCCCCGTCTGACGGATTCCGTTTATTTGCTTTAAGTTTATTTTATACAAAAGTTTAGGTCTTTTATTTATCGATTGAGACACTACGAAGTCTGCCGGGTCAGCTAGTGCTTAATAAAACTTTCTTAGCTACGAAATAAGTACAAAACCTTCTCTTCCTGTACTTGCGCAATGCTCTTTGTCCGAGTTGCGTAGACTTAACCAGCCGTTCTTTGTGTTAGTGCTTCCTAGATTAAGTGATAACACATGTTTTTATCCACGGAACGCGTGTTTTGCTCCTTCGGTTGAGAGCGGAAATTACCGAAACTTTCCGGTAGTTTTTTTTCCACAACATATTTATCTGAATTGTTGGTCTGGTAAGATAAAATTTTAAAATTTATCAAGTGAACTTATATTTTCAAACAACGCACTATACCTACTGTGGTATTTTAGTACATATGTACACATATATCTAAACCCGGAACCGTTGACATTCTCTCTGTTTTATTATACTTAGATAAATTATTTTATTGCATAGCTATTGCATAACATTCAATGAGTAAGTACCGGTAAAATGGGGCGTTTAGGGATTGAGAGGCGAATCGGGAAAAAACCGGGAAAATCTTTCGACGCTCAATATAAGTTTTATATTCGTTGCAAAATCTTCCATTTTTTGTAGTTTAATAGTAGAATGTTGAAAGTTCACAAAACAACTCTGAATATGCATGATAATAGCTGCTAACTTATAAAAAATCGCGTTNGCTTTGACTACATTTTTCTTTAGCAGACGCTTGGTTCGAAAGACTTCCTAGGGACGAACTTCTTGGCCGATTTAAAAAGAGGCTAGGATGGAATGCCTGCTGAACTAACTTCTTTTGACCAGTAGCATTTACTGGCATAGAAGCCTGGGTTGCCACTTCTATGCCGTCTTCGGTAGCAGATTTCACACCCTCCGGCCCGGGTACCAGCGGGCGCCGGGGGTTAGCCGGGGCGCATGACAAATCACACTCATTACTCTGACTTTCCATATTTTTATAAAGGGGTTGGGAGAAATACTAATGATACTTTCCCAAGGTACCATCGCCACTCTTATTTATATATATTTAATTTGATTTATTTTTTATTTATTGCATATAATATGAATAGACGAGCTAAAAGCCCACCTGGTGCTGGCCCAAATGGTTACCGGAGCACATAGACATCTACAACGTAAATGCCGCCACCTACCTTGAGATATAAGTTCTAAGGTCTCAGTATACTCGTAGTTACCACGACTGCCCCACCCTTCAAGCCGAGCGTTACTGCTTCGCAGCAGAAATAGGCAGAGCGGTGGTTCCTACCCGTGGGGACTCACAAGAGGTCCTACCACTAGTAATTTGTATGAATTAGGTGCTATTGTCCTGCTTACTTCTGCTGCGATGCAGTCGAGCCTTCCAGTTCCTTATTGTGTATTTAAAAAGGCTTAAGATGACGTTACGCATTGTTTATAATAAATCATATCTCGTGATAGCAGCGACCTACTTCACAACATATAACAATATCAGAGGCGTTCTCGTTTAAGCATCACTAATTTAAAAAAAATGCGAATCTAAAATCATATACCTACCGGCCTCACCATTTACTAATATATAATAACTACTAACATATTCAACTAATATATTCAACAAGGAACATAGATGGATACCTTTCAATGATTCTAAGCGCTTCGTACGGGTATAGTGAATGCATTACTCATAACATGTTGAGTAGAAGGCACGGCGTAGCAAATTCGAACGAATGTGTGTAAGCCTGTGACCCAAGCTGAATCATTTCTCATTTTCGACGGCTACGTGTATACTAAATTATTATGTTTTGGTTAAAATAATCCTACTGCGTGTCCATGGTTCACTTCCTCCTCCTTCAATCGATCGCTCATTGCTGAGCATCGTGATGCGCCCGCCTGTGACCTTTTTTGTGATTTTTAGCCACTTATGTCGGTCTTTTTTTGTTGTTGTAGATGTTTTCCTACCTATTCTAGTAACCTCAAGAAGGGGTTATTTTAGATTTACCGAACTAGTGGGTGAGCTCATGGGGCTCAAACCTGACGTTGTTGCTAACACGAACCCTAGCAAGAGCAGTGCTTCGCAGAATCTACCACCGGATCGGAAACGCGACCCACTGAGAAGATCCGGCGAGAAACTCAGTGGGCTGTGTCTGTGGGTTAA